CCGTGTCGTCTGGACTACGCTGCCAGTCTTGTTGCTGAGTCTGCTGAGTCTGCGTCTGCGTCTGCCTGTCCTCCGTCCGTCGGGGGTGACTGTGCTCTTGGCACGGACGTCCATGAGGACAGGCACGAGGAGTTCCAGTGCTTTGCCGCCGCTTTGCCCCATCTCGTGTCCATGCTTGTTGCCCCTGAGGGAGACCCGGATGCTCTAGACATCCCGACCCCACGCTCTTACGCAGAGGCGATGGCCGGTCCCTACTCCTCTCAGTGGCAGTCAGCCATGGACGCAAAGATGGCTTCCTGGAAGTCCACAGGCACCTACGTTGACGCTGTTCCCCCTCCTGGGGCGAACATTGTCAGTGGCATGTGGATCTTCAGGGTGAAGCGGCCGCCGGGTTCTCCGCCTGTCTTCAAGGCGCGCTACGTGGCTCGTGGCTGCAGTCAGCGACAGGGAGTTGACTTCTTTCAGACCTTCTCCCCGACCCCGGAGATGACCACTCTTCGGGTTCTACTGCACGTCGCTGCTCAGCGTGACTACGAGCTACACTCTCTTGACTTCAGCACTGCTTTCCTGCAGGGCCGCCTGCACGAGGAGATCTGGCTGCGCCGCCCTCCTGGCTTCACTGGGTCGTTCCCTCCTGGTACCCAGTGGAGCCTCCGGCGGCCAGTCTACGGTCTCCGCCAGGCGCCGCGTGAGTGGCACGACACACTGAGGACTACACTTGCGGCTCTTGGGTTTGCTCCTTCTACTGCTGACCCGTCGCTGTTTCTGCGCACTGACACCTCGCTGCCGGCGTTCTACATCCTCGTGTACGTCGACGACTTGGTCTTTGCCACTGCGGACACTGCCGCACTCGCCCACGTGAAGTCCGAGCTGCAGAAGAGACACACGTGCACAGACCTGGGTGAACTGACAAGCTATCTTGGCTTGCGGATCACCCGGGACAGAGCACGCCGCACCATTACCCTGACTCAGTCACACATGGTGCAGCAGGTCCTTCAGCGCTTCGGCTTCACGTACTCCTCGCCTCAGTCCACTCCTCTGCCTACGGGACACTCGCTCTCAGCTCTGCCTTCGGATGAGTCCGTAGAGTCGAGTGGTCCGTATCCAGAGCTTGTGGGCTGCCTCATGTACCTGATGACTTGCACTCGACCTGACCTCGCATACCCTCTCAGCATCTTAGCACGCTATGTTGCTCCCGGCCGTCACCGGAAGGAGCACATGGATGCAGCTAAGAGGGTGTTGCGCTACTTGTGCAGTACGTCGGGCATGGGGCTAGTGCTTGGAGGGCGTGAGCGGCCTGTGCTCACTGGGCACTCAGACGCTTCTTGGGCTGACGACCAGGCTACTCAGAGGTCGTCTCAGGGTTACACCTTCAGTCTTGGCTCTGGCTCTGTCTCTTGGCGCTCTACTCGCTCTTCTTCGGTTCTCAGCTCGAGCTGTGAGGCTGAGATCTACGCCACGGCCATGGCTGCCCAGGAGCTTCGCTGGCTCACCTACCTGCTGACTAACCTTGGAGAGCGGCCTCGTTCTCCTCCAGTGCTGTACGTCGACAACAAGGCAACCATTGCCTTGTGTGAGGAGCACAGACTGGAGCACAGGACGAAGCACATTGCTCTGCGCTACTTCCTTGCTCGAGAGCTGCAGCAGCGTGGTCAGCTTCGCCTGCCTTTCGTGGCCACTGAGGCCAACACGACTGATGTGTTCACCAAGGCACTTCCGCCTCGTGACCATCAGCGCTTTTGCACTCTGCTAGGCCTTGTGCCCACTGGGCCTCACTTGCTTACCTCTTGACCTTGCTTGTACTGCTGCATATATATATCCTTGCTCTTGCTTGCTTAGCACTGTTATATATATATGCTCTGCTGCATGTGAACTGGCCTTGTGGCCTTGACCTTGTGCTCGGAATTTGTGTGGTATCCTTGAGATCCACCCTGAGCTTGCTTTGCTTTGCTTTGCTTTGCTTGACTGGTCTTGTGACCCCTTGCTCTCCCCCACTTTGCCTATGGGGGTGTGTCAGATGATTATATTACTGATGCATATATTTAGGCTGTAGTGGGGTAGCCCATAGGGGGTACAACCCAATTAGGGTTGGTACTTGTACTTGTTTCATTTCATAGTGAACTCATTCCTCGCCTCTATCTCAACAGTCGATACACATGCGAAAACCCCCGTCTTTTTTCGGTGTGAACAGTATCGGTGCGGTAAACGGTGACGAGCTCGATCGGATGATTTTTTTCTCTAACAGGTAATCTAACTGCTTCCTTAGTTCGTCGAGCTCGGGCTGTGTTAGTCTGAACTGGCGCTGTACTGTTGGCTGTTCCCCCAGTTCTAATTGTATGCGGTGGTCATGTGCTTGCTGAGGTGGTAGTCCTTCAGTTAAGTCGTCCGGAAAACTCCCGGGGTATCGTTTCAACAGTTCATGTAGTTCGGGCGGTACTGCTGCTAATAGATTCTGGAAATCGCTCGGCTGCTCTGCTTCTTCTACTACGGCAATGTCCACTGCGTACACGTCAGCTCCCGCGGCGACTGCCCGTTTCATCGAGATGGCGTTGACGTGGACCGTTGAAGACTCAGGTGACCGCCAGCGAGGTAGTTCAATCTAGTTACCACTACTTCGCACAGTGCAGCTTCCTGCCGTCCAGTCAATTCTCGGGTTGTATCGTCGCAGCCAATCACGTCCCAGTAAAATGTCGTGCCCATCCAGTGTCGTTGCGAGCATTTCCTGTGTAAACCCGAAGTTTTCCCCGCAGCGAACTTTTACTCTTTCCACCTTCTCCCGTATGGCCAGCGGCGTGCCGTCAACTAAGCGTGCGTCGATCTCAGGTAAACAACGGCTAAGTGTCAGTTGCAGTTTCTGTGCGGTTGCGGTATTGACTAAACTGTGACTGGCTCCTCCGTCGATAAAAATCTTCGGCAATCCGTCGCTGTACCCTCCTTATTCGTCCGAGTCCGATCGATAGCATGAATCGGTACTGTGACTCGGTGAGGGTCGGTGGGGTTGGGCGAGCAGGTAGTCTCGTCAGTAGTTGGCCCGGTTCCTACTGGCTGCTGGCGTTTCCCTGCCTTGGAGACTCCCTCCCCTGCTCTGCTCCGCGGCGCCTTAGCTCCTCTGGGCATTCACTCTTGCGATGGCCCGGCCTATTGCAAGCAAAGCAGCGCCCCTTAAATGGCGCGGTAGTTGCGTTCGTCGCAACGGCGTGTACCGTGGCGTGCTCGGTCGGTCCCCGAGGACGATGTCCATAGTAGGACCCCGGTCTCGGACGGCGTAAAAGGTCAATTTTCTCGGCGAGCGCGAGAATCTCGTTGAAGTTCGAGAGCCCGCGTAGCATAATTTCGTGCGAGATGTCCGGCTTCAGCCCTCCAACATAACGGACCTGCTCGCATAATGCGAGAAAACCACTCGTATAGTCTTGAACTGACCCGAGCTGCCGCCAAGTGCGCAATCTTTGACGCGCCGAAATAGAAGCCGCGATCGGCTCGAAACGCGCCCGAAGCCCTGCGCACCACGCATCCCACGTGCTGTATTGGGCGGTCTCGCAGAATGAACTCCAGGTGACAGCTGGACCCGTGGGCCCTTCCTCTTGCGACGGTGGCTCGTAGGCGCGTGGAGACGTCACGATGACTCGCCACCCGTCCATGGCGGGGCCCTTTAGCAGCGAAACGGCATAACGAATCTTCGTTGCGTCCGACCTGACGTAATTCGCGTCGAAGAAGACGTTCATCGTGAAGACCCACGATTGAACCGTCGGACCTCCACGCTGGCTCGGGTCGAAGCAGGGCGGGCGTTGCGGCTTGAGTGGCATTGGTGCCATAATGGCCTGTTCACCACTTGTCGCCGCGAACTCCACGTGCCGACGGGCTTCGCGAGGTTCCCGCGGGCTTGGCGCGACCCTGTTTCCTCCCATGCCAGGCATCGGCTGGGTGGTGCCATCACTGGCTGCGCCTGGGCGCTGTCCCATGCTGTTGTTTTGTGTTGGTGTGCCGGACGAAATGACGATCGGCTCGTCCGATTGTGCAGATGCATTTGTCGGTGCGTGTGGCGGCGCTGGAGTGTTCACCGTTGATTGCTGACGCGCGGAGTCACGTTCCGCCGTGAGCGTCGCAATCTCGAGCGCCGAATCTTCAAGTTGGCGCACCAGACGGTCGAGCTGCTCTTGCGTTAATGTTGCGAGCGTGAATTCGGCCATGGCGGGGGTGTCGGGCGAGCTCAGCGAGAGCCTCGGTCGTGGCCGTGCGTGCTTACGAGAGAGCACTACGAGCGGCGGTGTTGTGTCGCTGAGAGACGTCTAAACCCCCCCAAAAATTGAGATAGTGGGGAAGCGAAGGTGTGGGTGCGGTCCGAGAAGAGATCGTAGGCTCTGAATACCAAGTCTCACGAGTGCAATTGAGTGAATGAACGAGAATTGCACTATCGAAGCAAGAATCCAATGAGCGAAGGCATGAGCGAAGAATATATAGCGAAACTAGAGTGGTAACGGTAATGGACTGTGGTTGTCGCGCGACGGGCCTGGGACTGAGGTTGGGGAAAATGTCGAAGCGGAGGCCCGGAGTGCGGGTTACCCGCCGAGCCGTGAGGTCGGGGTGCGACGTGCGAAGGTGGCGGGAGGATTGTCGATGCGAGAGTCGCGAGTGGTAACGGTGCTGACTGAGGTGCTACAGTGGTGTACGGGCTGAGCGGGGACGCGGAGTAAGGAAAAGGAATTTTCCTTACACTATCTCACATGTGCTACTCATCCCCCATTCCACTACCCAACTCTGACATGATATCATTTGTACAGTGGTCAAAAAACATGGGAAAGTGCAACGTTACAGGCAAATCAACCTGGCAGTCAGTTAAAACTGTATGTATATTACCTAAATAATACTCGTTTAGTACCTATGGTACTTCTTCCCCTAAAGTAGCCTTACATACTGGTTTTACAATGCACTAATTCGTGCATTGGAATATGGCTGACATGACATCACAAGCCCTAGTGGTAAGACTACAACGAATCTAGAGCTTACATGGCATTCAGGTTCTGCTTCTCCAATCGTTCCCTCTCCACAATGTGTGTGTAAACCAGCTCGTTCCACGTGTCTGGAACTCCCGGTAAGCACCAATGAAGGCAGTCTTGTCCCTTGGGCGTATTGGATCGGGGATCCCAGATGGCTGGGTGCGCATCACCACGGTAGGCTGACAAGTGCGTGATGTTCAACAGGTGTACTGATGTTCCCAACACTCCATCCTCCTTTTCAGCGTCCCTCGTTGTCATATTGGCCACCTCCACATCCCCTAAGGGATGCTGCACGTGCAATGGTAAAAATAATAAAAAATAAAACCATACAAACAACCACCAGGGATACGTGAGGCAACGTATGAATGTGGCCAAATCATCACAAACCGAATGAATATGCACGAACATTCGGTATAGAAAGATCAAATCTTTACAAAAACACTGTCACTACATACCTTGAGATGGTCGCATCGCCCTCCCGAGTCCCACTCCCCCTCCATAAAATGCCTCGGCGTTATCGATCGCAGGAACACCATTGGCTTCGTGTCTGGCGTTGCAAAAATCGCCGTCCTCAACTTCGCACCCCCACCCGCCGCAAAAGCTGGAAGCTCCACAGCAGTGCCCAAACTCCGCCTCAATCCTTCCCCTCCTCCCTCTCCCTCTCCCTCCTCTCCTCCCTCCCCTTCTCCTTCTCCTGGCTTCACCAGCAAACCTCCCTCTTCCCCGCTCCCCTTCAGCTGCTCATCAATCCACACAGACACCGACCGGATCGCCGTTTTCAGCGCCAGTGCCATGACCATCGGCCGTTTTCTCACCGGCGGCGCCTTGCTACCATTCAGGAAGAACTCCAGCGCGCTCTCTTTCATCTTGCCCCGGTTCCAGTGATGCCCTGTGTTCAGAACGACGACGTCCAGCTCCTTAAGGAAGTCTCTTAGAAAAGTGTCAGGCCGGTCTAAGTGCATCGCCTGGCCCTTCTTCCAATCCTCCTTATTGAACGGCTCGATTTCGCATAAACACGTCGTCCAGCGGAAAATCACTGTAGTGTTATATTTCACAAATCTGTATGCCCAACCGGTCGGGCGGCGGGCCCTGGGCAGCTGAAAGAAACCGTAATCAGGGCCCACGTCTTGGATGGGGGATGAAGGGTCGGACATGTTTTTGGGCGGGCCTTTTGGGGAGAGAAGGCAGAGCAGCGACTGGAACTGCTGCTGGCCTAACGAGTCCCCCACAAAGGCAAGGCTCTTGTTCCGCATCCTGCCAAGGGGATGGGGGGGGGGTGGGGAACGGTTGGGAAAGAAGCAGGAAGGCATGAACAGGGTCTCGAGTAAGAGTAAGAGCTACAGGAAGGGCAGCGCCTGTAACTGCTGCTGGCCCAGGGAGTGCCCCGCAAAGGCAAGGCTCTTGTCGCACATTCTGAGAGGTGGGCATCAAGGAGGAAAGGGGAAACGGTCTAGGGTAAAGAGCTACAGGCCGAGCAGCGACCGGAACTGCTGCTGGTCTAGCGAGTCCCCCACAAAGGCGATGCGCTTGTTGCGAATTCTGACAGGAAACAACCCCAAGCTAACTTCCGATTGCACCTTTGCCCTCCTGCCCCATTCCCCCTTTGTACTCCTGCCCCATTCCCCCTTTGTCCTCCTGCCCCATTCCCCCTTTGTACTCCTGCCCCATTCCCCCTTTGTACTCATGCCCCATTCCCCCTTTGTACTCCTGCCCCATCCCCCCTTAGTACTCCTGCCCCATTCCCCCTTTGTACTCCTGCGCCATTCCACCTCTGTACTCCTGCCCCATTCCCCCTTTGTACTCCTGCCCCATTCCCCCTTTGTACTCCTGCCCCATTCCACCTCTGCACTCCTGCCCCATTCCCCTCACGACCTGAAGAAACCCATTGAGGAGTCTCGAAGAGTTTATTTATCAACTCAAAAACCGTCCCACCTCCAGAAGTTGGGTTTTACTCGACTAAAAAATCGTCCCACCTCCTGAATTTGAGTTTTACTCGACCAATTTCGTCCCACCTCCTGAATTTGAGTTTTACTCGACTAAAAAACTGTCTCACCTCCCCGATTTCTTTTTCTTTGGCCACTCAAAAGCCGTCTCACCTCCTGATATTTCCGTTTTAGTCGACCCAATACACGTCTGACCTCCTGAATTAATTTTTTAACCGACTCAAAAATCGTATCTCTTCCTGAAGAACCCTGCCGCGCTGAACCGCTTTGCACCACACCTGCCCGGCTGCCGTCCCAGGCGCTCGTACTTGCACGTACAAGCCAATCACACCACCCAGTTCTACCCCCATGCCCCCTCACCTGCGGAAAAAGCCATCCGCGCTGAACCGCTTCGCATTACACCCGCGCGGCTGCCAGCGCAGGCGCTCGTACTGGCGCATCTCGCGCGGGCGGTTGCTGCGCGCGCACGCCCAGTTGAGCGAAATCCACTTGCACTTCTTCCCCGAGTACAGCGCGCGCTGCCGCGCACGCACCCACCGCCCCTGATACAGGTCGCAGAGCGGGGCAGCGGGGACGGCGGGGACGGCGGAGGAGGTGTAGGGGGCGGAGGTGGCGACGGGGGAGGAGGCGGAGGAAGGGGAGGAGGGGGAGGAGGAGGAGGAACTGTGAGTAGAATCAGATGGGACGGAGGAAGAAGAGGGATCGCTGCTGCTGCTTCTAACGCTAGTGCTGCTGCCGGCAGTGGAAAAGGCTTCATTCGAGCCCTCTAAAACGACCTCCTTCATTTCATTACCCCCTCCTTTGCCACCTCCACTCATCTCCTCTCCCCCCTTATCCACCCCACTTTCGAGACTATCACTGGCTTCAGTATCACCCGTACCACCGTCCCCACCGCTTGCATCGCTTCCGTTATTGTCACCGCCGCTGAAATCACCAGCTTCGCTTCCGCCGATTTTTTCCCCAGGCGGACTCGCTAACCCTTCTCTCAAACCGCTAGCTAGAACCAATACCGAGTCTGCTCTTAGAGGAGACCGAGCCGACTGCTCCACTCCAGCCTCGCTATTCGACCCCCCTTGTTGGCTACGAAGGGAATTCCCGTGATTGTATGCGGACGAACTGTGACTATAAGAAGATGAGGAGATGGATGCGTTTTCTAGAATCACGAGTTGGTTTCTTCTCCACCCTGCAATAAGGTGGCCCAGATGGCGGTGAGGGATGGGGGAGAGGGATGGGGAGAGGGATGGGGAGAGGGATGGGGAGAGGGATGAGGGAGGAAGGAATAAGAGGGAGGAAGCAGAGGGATGGGGAAGAGAGGGGGAGGAAGGGATGAGGGAGGGGAAGGAAGGAGATGGATGAGGAAGGGGGATGAGAGGGAGGGATGAAGGATGAGAGAGGAAGGAGAGGGATGAGAGAGAGGGATGAAGGAGTGGGATGAAAAAGAGGGATGAAGGAGAGGAAGGAAGGAGAGGGAGGAAGTAGAGGGATGAGGGAGAGAGGAGGAGGCGGACGGAACATTTCGAGGGCGAAGTAGATCGAGCATGTGTGACGCGAGAGGAGAGAAGAGGCGAGCGAAAAGGAAGTGAGCGTGAAGGGGGGGGTTATGGACGAGAGAGAGAGATGGAAGAGAAAAGTGGAGGGTAGTGGTGAGGAGACAACTGATTCTAGCTCACAACTTAGTTACCTGAAGTTACGAAATCAGACACAGTTGATACTTCACAACGAGGATTACTCAGCGGTTTATGAATGTGCTCAGCCCATACGTAAGCAGGGAGGCGTGCATATGCATAGATAATAAAGCAGCTCGATACGCCTGCTGAGCAACTCACCCTTGGTCCGATGGTTGGCGTGAAACGACTCCCACGTCATAATGCCCACTATCGTTAGAAGCACCAGCGCCGCCGACCACATCGCGTGCCACCGAGCTCCTCCGCAGAAATTGGCGCCGACTGCCTTTCCACCGCCCATGACCGCCGCCAGGGCCGCGAGGGAGCGAGATCGGGATCGGGTGGGAGGGGTGCTGACAGGTGAGCCGCTGGGAACATTCCCGCTGGCTGCAGCAGGACAAGAATTACACGGAGCACGCAGGAACGGATTATGAGGATGCGGAGCGAGAAGCAGGGCTTTCCATCAGAAAGGCTTTCCCCAAGGCGTTTTTTGAGTTTAAAGTAAACGCCGGCAGGAAGTAGGGATTTCCAGTAGAGAGGCTTACACCAACGAACGAGGAAGAAACGATAGATCGCACTACCGTACCTGAATCGCAACGTTCTTAATCCACACCGTGCGACCGTACCTGACGGCCGTCGCGTGTGCGCAACTCCCGGAGCCTCGGTAGGAGCCGACGACACCGACACTGATAGCGCCGTCGGCCGCGATCGCGCCGACGAGACCGCCTCCATTTTCTCGCCTCCTGAAGCAATCTCGATCGCCACCGACACTGATATCGCCGCCGGGCGCGATCGGCAACGGAATGAGTTTGCTGCTGATCAATAGAAGTAGGTAACGAGGAGGCTATTTTTGAGTCGACTCAAAACGGTCGCGATCGGCAACAGAATGAGTTTGCTGCTGATCTATAGTAGTAGGTGACGAGGAGGCTACTACTAGCGATGATGAGTTCCGGTGAAGATGAGCTAGAAGACAAAGCTGATGATTCAGCCGGAACTACCGATGCACCAAAGTTTTTCAATACTAGGCCATGAGAACCTCTTATTATCTCCCAAAGCGACGCCACCCTGGATGCGTCTAGGCAAAAACCCGCTGAAAGCGAGTGGCTTGCGAGAGTCACGACAATATCGCAAACTTTACTGAAGTTCTCGAGGTGAAAACACAACTGAGCGAAAGTGCTTTCCCTGACCTCCAACAATCTCGATCCTGTCCTGTCCCTACTAGACCCCGCAGAACCCAAGACCAGCAAGCTTGGCGTCGCAGAGTCATCACAGCACAGCACTCACGAATCTCCCAAGGTCTGGCGAAATGAAAAATCCTTCGGCTGGAGGCTACAAGAGCCGAAGTGGCGATTATAGCGACCTGGCAGCCACCGCGACAAAGTGGCCTCCCTCTCTGTTCAGGTTCGCGAACGTCGCCATGAGAATTTTGTCAAACGAAGATGTCGTTCGCGACGTTGACAGACAGTTCCGACCAGCATGCGCTTCGGCAGTTCCTGGCACTGACGGTTCGGCAGCGACATGTGTGATGGCATACACCTGCCTGCGCGGAAAGGCTGCTGTGACAGAGTCCGTGTCGCTCGCAGACTGCGACAGGCACAGAGCTGTGGAGTTATCGCATCGCATCATTGGCAAGGTTCAGCGCCTTTGATGTGAAACTTGTAACGCGAAAAACCAATTAGTAGATGCTAAAGTGAATTACAATGTACAGTTGATATTTTCAGTCACACTATGGGTATAGGGTTCGTCGTTTTTGCTACTTGCTTGTCTACTGCAAGATGGACTTCCATATTCATAAACCACAGATCGGTTCATCTTGCCTCGCACTAGCCTTCCAAAACCTGTTTCACACGTGAGGAGCCTAGCTAATGGGATATCCTTACATTGCTCGTATTGGAGTGTCCTTAAAACATGGGGTCCAAGAGTTTCTATGTTAGGAAGGTTGCTAGGGGCAAGAAACGTGACTGCCTCGCGAACCAAAGTGTTGTCGAAAGGTATGAAAACTTCGCGAGTCTAACCAATTCTAGAATGCGAAGTCAAAATTCGTTCGCAAATATTTTCGGATGAGTGCAAAAGCTGCTTACGAAATTGTCATATAGCAGATGAATGAAACATTGAATACACTTCCGATGAAACATAGAATACATTAATTTTGAATGATGAGACTTTTGTTTTAAGACACTGAAATTTCAGCCTTCTTCCTATACCAAGTCTGAGATTTTCAGACTAAAACAGTGTACTAGTCTGACGAATCAGACATGCCAAAAACGAATCTGAGGGCCTGCCCTTGACCTCAACTCAATAGCAGAGTGAATGTAAATGCTTGAGATAATAAAAAACATGAATAAATATAAATAAGAGTACAAGGAATATAAATAAGAGTACAAGGGAATTCGAAACGACCTAGCTAGCCATGTACTCTAAGGGGTACATTCCCTAATTGCATCGAAATCCAACCGTGCGACTCCGGGTGGTTACGAAATAGTTCGGGTAGAATCCTCGCCACTGCTGCTGCCTGATGCTGTTTGCCCGACGGTCCAGATGCTTCTCGTAACCGTGTCGCCCTTCGCGTCACTTGCGCCCTTTCATCTTCAGTCTCGGTAGTGCATGCTGCGCTTGCTCCGGTGAGGGGTGCACAATAGAATTTTAGTAATTACTATTCGTAACACCCCCCTTCACTCCTGGCCGTAGCATGTCTTGACCCGCTTGACTACTCCGCTGAGCTTGGAGCAGTGCTGATACTGCTGACGCGGCAGTTTCTTCGTGAGGAAATCTGCTGCCATGTCGCTCGTCGGGCAGTAGGTTAAGTCAACCTTGCCCTTATCAACTTCGTCATTGACGAAGAAGTACCGCAGTGCGATGTGTTTGGTGCGGTTGACAAATCCGGGTTTGTTCGCGATCCTGATCGCCACTTAAGTTGTCGCAGTGCAGGCGAAAGTTCGCTGAGGCAGGAATTTTCGCCTCCTGCAGCAGCTCCTGAAGGTAGAGGCCTTCGCGAACGACTGCTGTTGCTGCAATGAACTCGACTTCCGCTGATGACAGGGCAACCAGCTCCTACTTCTGTGAGTTCCAGGAAATGGGGCCACTGGGCTCGAGGCGAAAGAGAAAACCTGTCCTAGACTGTTGATTGTCGCGATCAGCGACACGATCTGCGTCCACGTGGCCGACGAGACTAAAGGATGCGGTTGGGATGGTGGAGTAGCAGAGCCCAACATTGGGCGTAGAGATGAAGAACTGAAGGGCTCGCTGAAGATCTGAGAGATTCTCAGCCGTTGGTTTGCGTGAGTACTGAGCCAACTGGCTCGCGATGTAGGAAAGGTCGGGCCTGCATGATAAGAAACGAGGAATGAATGCATTGAGCAGAATGAGGAGTACAAGTAGTAAACCCTAAAGTGTTACACCCCATATGAACTGCCCCACTACAGCCTACACAGACTATAGCATATATGCCTGACACACCCACATAGGCAAAGTGGGGGAGAACAAGGGGTCACAAGACCAGTCAAGCAAAGCAAAGCAAGCTCAGGTGGATCACAACGTCACCACACAATCCAAGCACAAGAGCAAGGCCACAAGGCCAGTTCACATGCAAGATCATATATATGAAGGTAAACAAGCAAGTGCAGGTATAGAAAGAGTACAGTACAAACAAGGTCAAGAAGTGAGCAAGTGAGGCCAAGTAGGCACAAGACCTAGCATAGCACAGAAGCGCTGATGATCACAAGGCGGAAGGGCCTTGGTAAAGATATCAGCAGTGTTGGCCTCCGGAGGCCACGTAGGAGAGCCAGAGCTGACCACGCTGCTCAACTCACAAGCGAGGAAGTAGCGAAGAGCAATGTGCTTCGTTCTGTGCTCCAGTCTGTGCTCCCGACACAAGGCCGGCATAGGCCTTGTAGTCTACACACAGAACTGGAGGAGAACGAGGCGGCTCTCCTAGGTCAGTCACAGATAGGTGAGCAACGTAGCTCCTGTGCAGCATGGCCCCCGCGTAAGATCTCAGCCTCACAGCTGGAGGTGAGAACAGAAGACGAGCGGGTAGACCGCCACACACCAGAGCCGGAGCCAAGGCTGAAGGTGTAACCCTGTAACGACCGCTTGTATCGGCTGGTCGTCAGCCCAAGAAGCGTCTGCGTGCCCTGTGGGGACCACTTGACGTCGCCCTCCAAGCACTAGCCCCATGCCCGGCGTACTGCACACGTTAGCGCAACACACCCTCTTCGCTGCAGCCATGTGCTCTGGTCGGTGTCTCCCAGGAGCACATAGCGTGCCGAAGATGCTAAGAGGGTATGCAAGGTCAGGTCGTGTGCAGGTCATCAGGTTACATGAGGCAGCCAACAAGCTCTGGGTACGGGCACTCGGCTCTACGGACTCATCCGAAGGCAGAGCTGAGAGCGAGTGGCGAGTAGACAGAGGAGTGGCCCGAGGCGAGGAGTACGTGAACTTGAAGCGCTGAAGGACCTGCTGCACCATGTGTGACTGAGTCAGGGTAATGGTGCGGCGTGCTCTGTCTCGGGTGATCTGCAAGCCAAGGAGCTGCGCAGTTCACCAGGTCTGTGCACGTGTGTCTTTCTGCAGCTCCGACTTCACGTGGGCGAGAGCCTCAGTGTCAGCAGAGTGGCAAAGACCAAGTCGTGACGTACACGAGGATGTAGAACGGTCGGCAGGCGAAGTGTTGGGCGTAGAAACACGGACGCGTCTCAGCAGTAGAAGGAGCAAGCC